ACCCATTGAACAGATACGTCGCAAACATGAAACATTGCTCTTTCCTTGATGAATACCCATTCTCTCATCAGTGTGATTTCTTTGCATTCCGTCATGTCACTCCGATACAGTAAACGGATTATGTTTCTATGTCAAACCACCTGTTTACAGCTCTCAGCTCGAATGATACAGTTACAATGAGCGGAAACCGTGTCAATGGGACTAATACTAGTTATATTCTGATGACAAATGGTTGATGAATGGATTGTTTCTCTGGCCAAAGCTTGGACTTGAGCCAATAGTTATTGCCGAGTTCTATTGAAACCATAGATTGAACAATGATTTGCGGCTTCTAATTTGCTTTTGTTTGTCCTCACTGGCACTTCCCCCTTTCCCACAAGGCAGAAGAAGCAATTATCGGACAGTGAAAGGGGCCCCCAGGAATGCTGAAGCATGAGTGGGTGATTGGATTTTTCGGAGCAACATGTAGTTGTCACTGGGACAAAATAATTTACAACCGTTCTTGGTGGAGTGAGCCACCCTGTTCCGTAGATACAGTATTAGGTGAAGTATTGAACGGGGTCCGATAGTTTGCTTCAAATAAATAATGTGGCAAATAGAGTAAAACTACAACAATTTAACATCCTTGTCATAGCTAGCTCGCTAATTGCTGTAGATGACGATTTATTTTCATACATTCACATTCATTCTCATGGAATCTGGATCTGTAGCCTACGTTGGATCAGACATTCTTCCTATTTCTGCATGAAATGTTAAATCTGCGGTCTTAAATGACTAAGACCGCAGATTATTTATCCTGATTCTATGTTATTAACATAGTTCATATAAAAAAGGGGAAAAAGAACATATGTCTAGTCAGGATGTGCCTCAGGAGTGCAGGTGACTTGGAGGAAAGTTTGGAGAAATGTTAAATATCCTGGAATTAATTGTCTCTGAAATCAGTCCCGCAAGAATAATATTTTTTCAAATTCTTTTCGTGCGCTTGTCTAGTGAACCCACTGATAAGTCTATAACAATTAAGGTAATTGCTTAAAAATGAATTAATGGATATTCTTGATGTCCTAGTGGACGTGCCATTTCCTTCTCAGCAGCCAGTTTGGTGGGAGTATGTAAGACTTTTCACCTTCTGTGTTTGCTAGTCTAATCTTCTTAGCTGAGTGTGGCCTCTCCTTTGTTCCATAGTTCCTGGAAAGTAAGTAAGTTGGCATGGATTCTGTACCCTTGCTTAATACCACTGAAAGCAATTGGTTATTGAACAGCCATATGAGTGTTCACTTCCTTTGCAACACTAAAAGTGTCATTCTACACATTTATTATGGTACATACACAATGACTTCCATGACTCATTTTCAAGTCAACGAGTATCAAAGCCCATCAAGGATGAAATTAAGAAACAACATAAATCATTCACAGAGGTGTCAAATCCAGGTCCAGAGAGTAAAAACCATGCCACAGTTTGGCTTTAGCCACAGATGCTTCTACTCAACTGACAGGTAAACAAGTTCAGTGAGGTGGTCATTCATTTGCCTGAAAATGTCTCTTTGAGGGAGTCATTCTGCACTTACGCCTAACTGGGATGTAACAGTGGGACTAATTTCAAATGATTACCAACTGATATTGCCCAGGACATGACCAGTTGGGCTTTGTGCCACAAACACACAGAGACCCTCTGCCTCCACGAGTTAAAATGCTGTTAATATCTTAATGGATATTCATTTTTTTTCCCCTTCCACACTTTGGGCTCCGCTTAGGCAAGTAGAAGGAAGCAGCCAGCACAGCGCACACTTGCCAGCAAGAGCCAACAAGCAATGCAGTGACCTGTGAGATCCAGCCTACTGTGAATCATACACCGGTCTGCGAGCTGACACGGTCCGAACACGAACCAAGTAGAGTGTGGATCCCAAAAATGCAGACTCGGATAAACCACGTAACAAAAACGTATCTATTTATAGAAAAATAAAGTACCAACAAACGATAAACAGAAATCGCTGGCAGCATCAAGCCAGGAAAACCAGATATGAACAGAGAAAGCGCTTGCAAACTGCAAGTCAAATTTGACAACCGAAAGTATTCAAAACAAAATGGCAAGAATCCAAACACACGAAACTTAAAGTAGTCCAAAATGACTTGAGAACCAAAATACATACTAAACAAGAATCTAGCGAAACAAGAGCGACTGTAAACATGAGCCAGAGGTCTATAAAATATCACTTGAGCATAAACAGCAAACAAGGGCAATAATCCGACAAAAGGCAAAGGAGCCAGGAAGTCCTTAAATATTTGCCTGGGCTGGATTGGAACAAAACAAAGGTGCACTGCTGAAGAGGCATGCCCTCCACTGCAGCTGGTGCTAAAACAAACAAAAAAAATACATAGACAGAGCAAAACCATGACACGAGCAAGATGACAAAAGGTAGCCAGCAAAAGCCTCCATAGTTGCAAAGCTCAGGAGGTCATCATGATAACACCAATGAACCAGCAGCATATCGAGGGCTTGAGGGCTGGCCCGCTGGCATGAGACAGAGACAACTGCTAAAAACAACCTGATTTCAGCAAGAGGTGTGTACAGTTTGCTATAATAATTTATTTAATTGCTTGGGACAGTTTGACGAAAGCATGTTTGCCGCTTACCTGTGACCAGGGACATGCAGTGCGTGGCTATGGGTTTCACTTGATGGAAAAGGTGCCCTTTTGCCCCCCAAGATTATTATTAATTATTATTATTATTATTATTATTATTACTATTTTATTTAGCATGTTTTTGATTGTGAAAGTCTGTCAGTGGCCTTGTAACAGTACAGTCAACCCCCACATACTTGCTGTTTGGCACCCACGGACTAACATGTTTTTGTTTTCAAAACTTGTTTCAATTGTTTTTTTGGGGGGAGTTTGTAAAAAAAAAAAAGTTTAAAAAATGTCAATGCTTTTCAATGGGTGTCATTTATATATACAGTATTGATGCAGCTCACAGCTGTTTGAAACAACACTCTTGTCTTCTTTAAGCCTTCAATGAGTGTAACATAGTTTAGCAACAGAGCGCTGTCTGCAATGGTGAAGGTTATCCTCACTGAAAGGAGGACTAAACGACAGGATTATCCAGACGCTCTGCCCTGCACACTAACCCAAATCTAATCTGACTCTCTCTTCTTGCACTCAGCGCTTTTAAACGGCGAGCAGACACATTGTTTCGTTTCACATCACATTCACATCACAGAAAGCAACTTGATACGTAGTTGATTTATTTTGACACTTTAAAAAAAGTGTGATCATTGGGATGCTCTATTGAAACTTTTTATTGCTGTCAGCACGGTTTGTGCCAAACAAAACCTACAGTACTAAGACTAAAGTAGGCTATTCATTAAATGGGATAAGATTTTTTTTTTTAAAAGTGCCTTTATAAATTAACTTATAAATCCATGAACAATGACAAGTATGGTCTGTGTGTACACAGCAGTACACAACAACACTGTATGGAAGTGTTAATACAGTCATAATGGTCGATCCCGTTAAAGCTAAATTCCATAAAATTTTCAATGTAAAAATCTGACTTCAATCACACTGTTTTCAAAAGCAAAAAGAGCACACTGGTCAGCAACAAATTATAATCAGAGATGGAGACTGTATGTGTCCCTAATTGTATGTTTGACGCTGATTTCAAAAATGCCTTTACTTTTTTTCCCCGAGCACATCAAGGTTTGAGATCTTTTCATTTTTAGTTTTTAAGTTTGACCTATAAAACTTGCGCAATATGGATTCTACCATGTGTTATAATTTATAGCTGTGGCATTTCAGAAAAACAAAACAAAAATACATTCATGTCATGTGCTCAAGAAAACAACGAGGACAGATTCAGAATCAGTCTTTTAAAAAAAAAAAAAAAACATCTGAAAATGAACTTGCATTTCTGATTAAAAACATTTGTTAACATTTATTGACCAGTGTAATGAACAAGTCATTACCGAGTAGGGTCCCATATAGTCATTGGCCTATTTCGCAAATACCCGGACTCATCCGTTCCTTCATTGTTCATTCCATGAAGACAGATCTCTGCTTCCGTGTTTGTTTGTGAGTGGTAATGCACATGATAACTCGTGGGATTATGGGTGCATCCTCTTCATCTGAGCGACATTGCACCGTACACTACTCTGACAGTGGCTGAGTCCAAATTCACAGGCTGGGTCCCCAGAAGGCCGCACATTTGGTCACATGAAGCCTGTTCCGGTGCGGTCCAACTACACGTGGTGTCCAAATTCATATTAAGCCTGTCCAAACTTGCCACGCTTTAATACGGAAGCTGTATAAGGAGGCGTCTTTCAAGGTATCGAAGTGTCTTTTTAGAATTTGGAAACCGCACCTGCCGTCGAGTTGCGGCAGAAGTGACATCATGCGGCCGAAAATGTGGCCTTCAGAGGACGCAGCCTGTCAATTTGGACACGGGGCGTATGTGTGTTCGGTGAGGCAGAATGTGCTCCATTAATTTCCGAATACAGCCTATGGTCGAAACCAATCACCTACTTCCAGTTGTGCTACTTGACACTCTGACGCAGTCTTTACCCAGTCTGAGCGCCTGTTGCGCGCAATGGCACTTGATTTTTGGTACACTCTGTATTTCCAAACTGCAAATTTGAACAGCGCACTGATTTTCCGAACAATCGGAGGGAACCAGTGCATGCTCTGAGTGTATTTCTGAATGCGTGCTCAGTCCTGTGTGGCGAACTCACAAAGGTTGGAGGCTGCCAGCCGTTACCATTTTAAAATGAGGTAGGGTCATTTCATTTCGAAAAAAAGTGAAGTATTTACAATCCCCTTGTTCCGTTTGGCTGCCAGAGGGAGGGAAGGTGGGGGGAAGGGAAGCGAGGGACAGATGGGATTGACACATGGTCCCGGTCAGCTTCCCGTTCTCACCCCCTCCCGCTCAGATTCTGTCTAATCTGACCGGGTAGAATCGGGTGAGAGAATGGGGGAGGGCTCTGGCCATTCGCCTCCACCTCTCTCTCTTTTCTGGCAGCACCCAACAGAGCCTCAGAGCCAAAGCACGCAGGATGTGGGGGGGAAAAAAAGGGGACTTCTTCCTCAGTGAGGCTGTCCTGAGGGAGCTGACGTGATCTGAAGTGGCACTCATGCTGAGGTTTTCACTTGCGGAGAATGCAGCCCAACGAGAGTTATTGCTAATCCATCACAAGGAGAGCGCAGGCACAACCTGCTGCAGGACTCAGCTGCACATTTGCTTTCTTTCTTTCTTTCTTTTTTAATTTATTTATTTTTGATTATGATTTCCTATGAAGAGCTTCGGCCTGTTGTAACTTCTGGCTTTTTTAAGGATGTGACAGTGCGAACTTTGGAGACACTCTGAAGAAAATCAGTTTCGGGGTGGAAATTCATGGCCAAATGCAGAGTCGTAGTGGGTGACCAAAAACAGTTCGGTGGCACAATGTCCGCCAACCAGGGCATGAACCGTCGCAGTGTCTACAATTACTTCCTCAACATGGTGGCCTATCAGGTGAGAGCTGGCGAGAAGCAGCAAATGCTGGGAGTGAATATAGCTGAAGTTTGATCAAGGGCAGAATGTGATGCAGTCACGGTTTTGGATGAACTTTCTAAACGACTTATATGGTTTGTCCAAGAACTGTAATAATTTCCATCAAAATACGAAACCGGTCATTTTTACTGTATATTTTTACAATAATGTAAAGCACTAAAAGTAGCGTTGGTGGTGACAATACTTAATTGGAATTATTACAAATGCTTGATGTCATAACTATTAAACATAGACAGATGAATTTTTCTATATTGAACTAGGCATGTAGATTCAAACCCAGATCCTCTTGTGAGGCAAACACGCTCACCTCATGTTCAACTGGAGCCCCCTTTGAGCAACTCATTTGTCCAGATTTGTTGCAGATTTTCATGATCAAACCATGATGGGCTCATTTGAGGTGGTTCAATAAACAAGGTCTTCCTGGGGCTTGTTACATTACAAGACTCAAAAGTCAAATTCATCTTTTTACAAGCCATTTTTTAGGGTTTCACTATTGATTTCATTGTTGTGGTGACTGTCATAAGCTCATTATTCTGATAAGGGAAATTTAAATATTTCAGCAGGTTGAAGCCAATTGTTAACAATTAGGGCCTGGTTTTGGTAGACAAGTGCCTGTGTGCTTGGCGTAAAAACAGGCACAATTTCAGGTTCGTGCCGTGGGAAGGGTGGTCAACCGTATTTTGGGACCGTGAGCCGCCTCACTGGGCGTTTCGGTGCACAGCCCCCGACGCATCTGGCAACTCGGTGACAGGAAGTAGACTGCACTTGGCGTAAAAACGGGCGCATGTTCATTTTTATGCGGTGAAAAATCATGTGTTTGTGAATTTGGTAGACTGCACTGCAGGTCTCTCGTCATTCCAGGATGTTTTGTGTTTGACACAAGTCAAGTTTACAAATGGGTGCTCAGTAGAATGCTTTAAGTGCCTGCTGTATTATTATATTTCATTAGGGTTGTCAAAAATAAAACCCCGTTTTTGTGGGTGCATAGGTTTTATATTAATATATTGGTGAAAAATTGAGAATTTCATGGCAAAATTCACAACAGTAAAACGGTCATGACATTAAAAAAAAAAAAGTTCAAATGATTTCCATCCATCCATCCATCCATTTTCTGATTTGCTTTATCCTCACAAGGGTCGCGGGGCATGCTGGAGCCGATCCCAGCTGTCTTCGGGCAGTAGTGCTGGCGACACCCTGAACCAGTTGCCAGCCAATCGCAGAGCACAACCATACACGCTCACACTCACACGTAGGGACAATTTGGAGTGTTCAATCAGCCTGCCATGCATGTTTTGGGAATGTGGGAAGAAACCGGAGTACCCGGAGAAAACCCAAGTATGCATGGGGAGAACATGCAAACTCCACAAAGGAAGCTGGGATCGCACCCGGTACCTCTGCACTGTGAGGTCGATGCGCTAACCACTGTACCGCCCTCATTTGAACCATTTTAAATCATGCAATGTTGTTGTTTTTAAATGTATTTATTGATTTAAGAATTGGAATTGAGAACCATGAGCAACCGGAATCGGAGTGTTTTTCTACTTCCGCAATGTCGAGCCTGATTACCTCACAGTAATAACGTTTGTTGGGCTTTGATATGATTTTCTGATGAAGGATGATTTCATCCGATTGGGAGAGCTTGCTGCTTCAGAGAAAACCAAAAAAGACCATTTTGTCTGAGTTACCAAACACTGCGTGTTCAAGTTGATATTATACCTTATACTGATATCGTACTTATACTGGTAGACAACTGCACACCAAGTTCAAATGATTTCCATCCATCCATCCATCCATTTTCTGATTTGCTTTATCCTCACAAGGGTCGCGGGGCATGCTGGAGCCGATCCCAGCTGTCTTCGGGCAGTAGTGCTGGCGACACCCTGAACCAGTTGCCAGCCAATCGCAGAGCACAACCATACACGCTCACACTCACACGTAGGGACAATTTGGAGTGTTCAATCAGCCTGCCATGCATGTTTTGGGAATGTGGGAAGAAACCGGAGTACCCGGAGAAAACCCAAGTATGCATGGGGAGAACATGCAAACTCCACAAAGGAAGCTGGGATCGCACCCGGTACCTCTGCACTGTGAGGTCGATGCGCTAACCACTGTACCGCCCTCATTTGAACCATTTTAAATCATGCAATGTTGTTGTTTTTAAATGTATTTATTGATTTAAGAATTGGAATTGAGAACCATGAGCAACCGGAATCGGAGTGTTTTTCTACTTCCGCAATGTCGAGCCTGATTACCTCACAGTAATAACGTTTGTTGGGCTTTGATATGATTTTCTGATGAAGGATGATTTCATCCGATTGGGAGAGCTTGCTGCTTCAGAGAAAACCAAAAAAGACCATTTTGTCTGAGTTACCAAACACTGCGTGTTCAAGTTGATATTATACCTTATACTGATATCGTACTTATACTGGTAGACAACTGCACACCACCATCCACACAACACCACCCCCAAATCATGTTCAACCACGAATTTAACATGCTAAAAATGTGCTAATATTGTCACGATTCGGTTTCTGGTCTGACCAGCAGGTGGCATGTGCGGTCTTCTGTGCACACCTGCTGCCAATCCAGTCATTATGGGACCATGTATTTAAAGACTCTGCTTCAGTTCACCTGTGTCGGAGTATTGTTTATTGCCTTGCTGTTTCCATGCTCTCTGACCACTTTGCTATAGACATCGTCGTGTACACGCTTTTGGATACTCCCGGTAACATTGTTCTTGTTCTTATGGCTTTGTTTTGTGAATTGGCTTTTTCTTGCGTGTAGTTGTTACATTGTTTTTCGTTTGTATTCTCGGTACTAGTTTTCCTCTCTTGCCTTTTTTTGCAAGCGCTTTTTGTTATTCGTTTTTGTTTTGTTCTTCCTGGTCCTTGTTTGGACCAGCGCTTTATGTTCTACTTTGTCGGAGCGAATTTTTGTATTAAACATTTTTGTAACGGAGACCTTGTTGGAGTCTACACTTTTGGGATCCAAACTTATTTCGGCTCGTCCGAAAACGTGACAGAATGACCCGACCACCTGGACCCCGCAGGTACAAAGACTGGTTCCTATTCCATCATGTGCCTGGCGGAGCACGTCTGCGGCCGACACCCTTTTCCCCTTCAGGCAGCGCTGGTGATGCGGCTGTCCTGTTTTCGTCTCGTCAAAGCCGCGTCTACGGTGGTCCGAGCCCCGTCCGCGTCCACGTTGAGCCGAGGCTCGTCACGTGTTTGTTCGAGCTGAGTCACATTCACGTCGACGACGAGCCATGCCACGTCCACGCCCACGTCAGGCCGAGCCCCTGTTCACGTCCGGCTGTCCCATGTCCCCCGTTACGTCGAGCTCCGTCCACGTACACATTTGTTTAATGACACCACATTTGCAAATAAGTTGCTAGCTGTGCAGTTAGCAAATGTAGCATTGTGATTGTGTGTGCCATGTCCAGTCTCTTGTAATAAGAAGGCACTGTCTTCCTATTGGTCACTGCCAAAGAACCGATCAAAGAACGACGTTGTCATGATTCGGTTTGGGACCAACAGGTGGCACTGTAGGGCTCTCCCTGCAGCTGCACACCTGTTGGTCATTAGGTAATTAGTGGCTTTAAAAGGACTCCCAGCCCAAACAATCATGGTCGGTTCATTGTTGCTTTGTGCTACTGTCATGTTTGTTTGTTGCTGTCAGGTTTGTTTCAGTCAGGTTTTGGTCATTATGTTTTATCTTCGGTCATGTGTTTTGTTTGATACTTTGGACTTTGTTTGTTTTGGATTTAGTTTTCTGAGTTTTAATACAATCTTTCAAGTACACCCTGCTCCTCCCTCCTGCCTGCTTTTTTTGGGTCCACCTCGCAAACGTGACAAATATGCTGTAACTGAATAACTGATTGCAATGGTGCTTGTCAGCTGGTCATCTTTCCCAACTCTTTGTCAAAGCTCTTCGAGACTTGAGCGAAGGAATATATCAAATAATGGTCTAACTAAACAATTCCTTTGAAGAAAATTAAACATCTAATTTAATAATTTTCACTTGGTATTGTCTAAAAAACATAATCTTCAGGCGACAGCTAGCAGAGTGAGGGAAGAGTCAAAGCTCTCAGACAGCAGAGCGATAAAGAATGTTAATTGATTTGTTCGCAAGCTATTTTCAACATTTTAAAATGGTTGAAAACGCTTGACAGACCGATAGTTTTGCACGTTTTCACAGCTAAAATATTACATATCAGTGAAAAACTAAATGGCTCCCTCTCACCATGTCACTTGTGTTATCTTATTCTCCAGTTAATCTTGGACATTTTTACCTCCTGGACTACACAACTTTGAAAGAAGTTCTTTCTGTCTTGATATGCTGCCTTGACAATTTTCCAAAATGTTTCTAATTGCATAGCTCCAAATCAATTGCTTGTTAGATTTTTGCTTGGCAAAATACAAAGGAACACCAACTGGTCATTTGAAAAACATTGCATCCCCAAAAATGTTTTTCATCTAAAATCATAGAATGATGGCCTACCTGTACCTACCCACATGTCGACCACGATCCAATAATTTTTACACCAGTACTCAATCTGAACTCTATTTTCATCCATCCCCCTTTGTGATAAGGTAATGGATAATCTTCTCTGCCTTATCCATTAGATTATGACTAACACGTGATGTGTGTATCTGGACACATTGCAATAACATCCCTTTGTTGATCATGCACTGTTGTCTGGGGGACACACTTGTCTGAGGTTGGTGTTGGTGCTACTTTGTGTTTAACTTTATATATCGCTAACTAAAATACATCGTCATGTAAACATTTTTGTGTATTGGCATAATACAATACTAGTAGAGTAATTTAAAAGTTTATATCTATGATTCATTTTGATCTGAATACTGTATTGGGAAAGTTTGAAACTGGATTGACGCCCAATTAATCCCAGAACTGACACGCAGACGCGGACAGCCATTCCCAATCGGATTCATATGAAGGGCAATTTGGAGTTTTCAGTAACTTTACCATATGGTACACCCTTTTGGATTGTCGGAGGAAATACAGTACTAGGAGAACAAGCACACAATCACATGGAGAAGATCCAAACTCCATCCATTTTCTGATCCACTTTATCGCTCACAAGGGTCGCGGGCGTGCTGGAGCCTATCCCAGCTATCTTCGGGCAGCAGGTGGGGTGCACCCTGAACTGGTTGCCAGCCAATCGCAGGATACACATCGACGAACAACCATCCGCAATCACACTCACACCTCGGGACAATTTAGAGGACAGGTGTCAAAGTCAAGGCCCGGGGGCACCACTGGCCCGCCACATCATTTTATGTGGCCCATGAAAGCAAATCAAGCATGTCAAGTTCCATGATGCTTGCTAAAGTCTGAACCAACATTTCAAATTGTCATATGTAATCCACAATAACAGTCATTATTCTTGACTTCTGGTTTTAAAAGTAGTTATCCATCCATTTGTTGTGCGCTGTGTATGTAATATGTGGTTAATGGTTTCCCAAAATTCATAATGGCCCTCCAAGTCAAAACGTAACGACAATGTGGCCTGTGACAAAAATGAGTTTGACACCCCTGATTCAGAGTGTTCCATTAACCTGCCACGCATGTTTTTGGAATGTGGGAGGAAACCGGAGTACCCGGAGAAAACCCACGCATGCACGGGGAGAACACGCAAACTCCAGACAAGGAAGGCCAGGACCTGTAATCAAACCCATGACACCAGTCAACCACTGTGCCGCCAACATTCAAACTCCAATTAGAAAAGGCTTAAAGGCAAGATTGTGGAAATTGTTCTGAACTTTAAGAATTGATATCCTCCATTTAATCTTCACAATGGCCAGGATATACTGTGCAGGAAACCGGATTCATGTAATGAATGCACAAAGCTGATTCATTGATTTACAAAGACTCCACACAAATGACATGCAGATGAAGAAAAATAATATATGGCAAGTGTCTTCTTGACCTATCTTGAATTTTCTTGGTAACACACACATATTAGCAGCTTGGCATTCAATCAAATTAATTTGTCCTCTCCCTGAGCTGTCACTTTATCATGTTGGAAGCGTGTGTCCTAATAATCCAAGGATCGGAGTTGTCTGGGGCTTTATTTCCCTGGCAGGGTAAATCACAGAAAACAGGTCAGTTGTTTGGGACCAGGCAAAGTATGGCTCAGATCCTCCTATGAAGCTGACCAAAAATTGTTCTGTTAAAGTCGGTTTATGCTCGACGCAGGAACAATTAATAAAGGCCACACACATATAGAAGCAGCCAAGTCACAATAAATAAAATTATCAATCAAACTCAACGGATCTGAGGTGAGTGCGAGGGAGGAAGTTGGCAGCCCCTCCCAGCTAGACGATGGCACACCGCGGCTGCATAAGTCGGCATGAGGAACCAATTACGAATCCATGGGGTAGCCCTGGGATTGACTCGGGGCCACTAGTTCCTACTCGGAGTGTCCATAACCAATGAGTCCTACAACAGCCCTTACGTAAAGCAATTACAGTGGGCACGGCCAGGCTTTTACTCACATGACTTGTGAATAATAATGTCAAAGGCAGCATTTTGATTGCATGCATCAGTCAGCCAATCACCAGTGTATTTCTTGTGACGCGGTTGCATGGTCAACATGGAGTCTGCAGCCAATTGGGTGCCTGTATACTGAATACGGGCCCCTGGCACAGAACAAAGAAATGGCGTAGTACAGCAGTGCTGAGTAGTGACGTGCATATACAAATATAATAAAATTTATAGATAACAAAATTTAATTTTAAGGAGAACAATTCATTTTCTAATACCGAGACAACACTTCTAATACTGTGGTCATTTAAATTTTTCATCAAAGTCATTTGGTGTGCCAGAATTAATTGGTGGGAGGCCAATGATGGCCCGCGGGCCACTTGTTGCCCATTTGCCCTACCGTGCTTCTGCCTCGATGCCATGGTGGAAAAGTTCCGAACCAAAATACACTTCCTGCATGTGATGTCATCACTCATTTGGGACATATATAAGAGTAACCTATACAGTAAGTGTACAGGAATCAGGCAGCAAACGAATGATTCCTCGGAATGTAATTATTGTTAACCCTCTCTTCAAAAAGAATTGGTTTCAGATGTCCATTTTGTTATTCTAGCATATTGATTGAGTATTTGTGTGTGCTCTCTCCTCGCCAGATCTGCTGCTGCTGTGGGCCTGCTCCCTGCTCGCTCTGCTGTGCCTTCTGTCCTCCAGTCAAATCGTCCACCAGCACTCGGGTCATGTACACCATCTTCCACGTCATGAGCTGCGCTGTTTCCTGCCTCATGCTGTCGCGCACCGTCTCTGAACTCGTCAGGGAAAATGTGAGTACCAGATGTGACCTTTCTATGTTATTCACCAATTTGGCCCTTAAGTTTGCACGCGAGTGATACTCCGTCAACTATCGTGGCCTTCACTATGATTGATTGTTTTACAAATTTGTAAATGATTCGCATTTCTTATCAACGGAAAATGATTTGCAGATCGCAGGAAGTGCAGCTTTGCATTTTTTATGTACATAATGCATTTGGGAATCAAGCATAAGTGAGTGATCTCTAATACAAGGCCAGTAATAAAAATTCTGCCGCTTCTTACAAAACAATAATTTTCAAACAGTGTAGTTACTGTAGATGAGTTATTTTTGTTGTTATTATTGACAATGTGTTTGTTTTTAATGACTACAAATTACAATTGCATAAAATTGCTCTATTTGTAATATTTTGATGATCTTATTAGCTACATAAATTTGATTCCTCCTTGTCAGCCAAATTTGATCTTTATATTATCTCTGCATGCCTCTTGTTCTCGTAAAATTGCACAGATCAACCAAACCCCCTTTTTTTTTCATAAGTATAACCTCCTCACTAGCTACTGATCTCATAAAGCAGCTAGAGAGACAGAGTAAGAGTCCATAGCTTTCAACACTATCACCATAATAAGTCTGACACTTTTATAAGTCACTCGACAAGGCTTGTAAATGAGATACAAGGACATTTTGAATGACGTATTGTTGGACTAGGCCTGAAAAGAAAGCCTTTTGCGGAATCGCTACTTGTTTTGTTCCCACACCGACATCAGCCTCAAGAGGAAGGAGGGCAAGAAACAGAAGGTGGAACAGAATACTAATTGCAGTTAAGCCTTTGACCAACAACGTTGCAAGGTTTTTATGTTTTATTCAGTGCGGCCTGTATTTGTATTGGCCTCCGCCGCATGCAAGACTGGAAATGTGCTTATGTGGAGAGGGATGTACTGTTTTTCTTTGTTTCAGGTGCCTTTCTTCAACGTGGTATGTGATCAGGCACATGGTGGGGGTCATTGTGAGATGCTTGTAGGCTACTCAGCAGTCTACAGAGTCTGCTTTGGCACGTCCTGTTTCTACCTAATGATGGCCATCTTCCTTGTTGACGTCAAGTCTAGTCAGGACTTCAGAGCACTCATACACAATGGGTCAGTGCTGCTGTTCATTTCATCTTTTGTTCTTCAAATATGACTACTTAAAATCTTAAAAGAAATAGAAATACGAGTGATGGGAAAATGAAGTTTTAATTCTGCTTCATGAACCAGTTGTAACATTTTTTTGACTCCTTGAGATCGCACCGTTGGTTTTAAATAAAGGGGTTTATGAAATGGCAAGTCAGTGTACGTTCAGCACAATGTTGAACAGAGAGTGCCATTTTGAGTAGTCAAAAAAAAAATGCAACAACTAGTTCATGAAGCAAATTTGAAGCCTCATTTGCTCCATTATGAGGACATACTGTAAATATTCAAGTTGTTACCATAATGGGACTCTTTCTAAACTTTTGAGTGACCATGTCAAAGTGTTCAATCTTTCAGAGCATTATGTACAATTTGTTGTCTCTATCAAGGAACTAAACAGCAAAAGTCAAAGCAACTGCTTGATTCTTGAGTCAAGCAAACCGTTTCCTGGTTCAGTTAAAACTGGTCAGCAGTCCTCTTCATCATGCTAGCCCCATTTTGACATTTCGAGACCCAACAATTGATCAACACAACTTTGCCATTTCGAGGCTTGACACACAGAGAAGTGGCCACAGTGCCACAGAATGTCAGTAGCAGGTTGCGAGAGTGAGACAGAGAAATTAGAAGAGTCAAAGAAAAGCATTGAAGTGAACATCCTTAGAAATGTATCTGTCGCTTCATGGCGTAAACATCGCTGCAAAACAGAGGGCTTGACGTGCAAATCGTAATTAACAAAACAAAACACTTTCAATAATGGATTGTGTACAGTTCATTTTTCTGAAACATTTATTTTGTGCATGCAATACTTTGTTTTCTTTTTCTACCTCCTCCCTTCAATTTTGCTGCTGTAGATTGCAAATTTCTTATCTTATCTTATTTAGTAAAGTAAAATGTCATTAGATATGGGCAATGATTTTTCTGGTAATCTAGAAAATTTGGAGTGGAGGAAGTTTGTTGTCTTGCTGCTGTCAACCCGTCTTGAATTTTAACAACAGTTTATGTTAGAATGTGGTCTTGTTCTCTGTGCCTTTTCTCTGAATCCACCCTCTTGACCGAGACTCATTCGCTGTAAAACACAGGTCTCAAACTCAAGGCCGGGGGGCCAGATCCGGCCCGCCACATCATTTTAGGTAGCATGTGTGTCAACTTACATTATCCTTGCTAAAATCTGTAATGAAATGTCAAATTGTCATGTATAGTAAATAATGTTGAGATTTAGCAATATTCTTATTACCCTGTATACAGTCACTTCAACAATTGAACAAACAACAAACTGATTTCAAAACTAGCAATCGATCAATCTGTTGTGTACAAGTAATGATACAATCTTATGATTAAACATTTTTTTTCGGTTTCACGGTCGTAACGGCCCTCCGAAGGAAGACATAACTCCAAAGTGGCCCGCAACTAAAATGAGTTTGACACCCCTGTCGTAAAAGGTTTTCTTTACTACAGTCTATAAGAGGAAAGTGTTTGTACGTCCTGCTCACCTGACCTCCAGCTGGTCTATTTTAAACTCTCTGTTGTCACAGACTCTCTGCACCCGCCTGGTCGATTAGAGCTGTGACGTGCTTCGGATTAGGTTTTGACATGCTGGGTTGCGGACCATCTCTGAGGTTAATCTGCTCAGTGTAGTCTTATCTGGGCCATGATGAAAGATTTCAGGTTCTTTGGCAAAGGTTATGGAGCACATGGTGGTCTACTGGGGGGAATGACCTAGTGCCCTGATGGTAACTTTTCAACAAGACAAAAAAAGCGTCATGCTGAGGTTGCAGTTAAAGGCTGTCGTGTTTTCATTTGCAAACCTTTTCATGAGAATGAAGGTTCAATAAAATACAATATACGTCTTCATTCATAATCTGTAATTATGTGATACTGTACCAGAAATGCTGCATTAATGTCAAATAATTCATTCATAGAATGTGGTTGCTTAGCAACTCCTCATATCCATATCTGATAAATGTTTTGTGTTGAAAACAAGTAGTTGATTCAGTTGCAAATTTGCTCTGCATCAAGAAAAAAAAGACAATCTACAAATATGTATTTAGGGGTTGGTTTCCTAATATTAGTGTCCTTACTTATTTAAGTTTTTTTTTGTTTATTTCGAATAAAGTTTATAATGAGGCCATAATAAAATATTTATTTGTGTGGGACAAATAAAGGATATCTTATCTTATAAACCGTTTATAAATCTTTAGTAAACTTTAGTATTTTATTTCTACATACTGACGTTCGTATAAATGTAGAGTCAGTATTAGGCCATGATTGTCTAGTTTATTGATAATCTGTTCTGTATAATTGATCATAAAGCATTCTTGAGTTCTTAAACATTTATAGCTGGCAACATTCAGTCTTAAAAATGTCTATCAATAGACAACAACAAATTCGTAAAACTGCATTAATATTATAATTACCACTCACTAACGCAAAAGTAGTAGGGAGGTGTCCGTGTTTTGAGATCATGACGAATTATTAACTCTTATACAGTGTTAAAATAATAACTTCAGTAACAGAGACAACACTATTTTATGATGTACTCATAGGTCTGGTGTGGCACTTTCTTTGTAACGTTAACAATTTAACAACGTAAAATTTAATAATGTGTAATAATGTAAAATGTAAATAAATCTGCATATTCCGGACATGAAGCATCATTCAGCAAGACATTTACAACAAAATCATTCAGCCCGTATCCGACCGAGCGGCGAACGTTTACAAGTGTTAGGAAATATATGTTGATTTTTCGTCAACGTTTGCCAACAGTTTTGACGTTAGCAAACAGTTTTGGTTGTTGCAACAAAATGTTGGCAATGTTCAAAATTTCGTTGCGACAGCAAAAACCTTGTGTAAGTCACATATTGTACTGTGGATTAAACATTTTTGTTCTTAATTTTACTCTGTAACCTAACCATTTTCTTTACTCTATCACCCAGTTTCTGGTTTCTGAAACTTATTACCTTGCTTGGGATGTGCGCTGCTGCCTTCTTCATCCCAACGGAGTCATTCCTCCATGGTGAGAACGAAACGTACTGTACCTCTTTTTGAAAACCGCTAGAGGGCAGCATAGGATAGCCGTAGTCGTAAATTACTGCATCATGTATTGAGCTACAATGTACGGATATGTGATGTGGCACCAGCTTCCATGACCTTATCGAAAAAGTCACATGGACGATTTGGAGTTTTCTCTTTTTCCCCTGATACTCAAGCTTGGCATTACGTTGGTGTGGTGGGAGGATTTGCCTTCATCCTCATCCAACTTATTCTCATCACAGCTTTTGCACACACCTGGAACAAAAACTGGTGAGTGTGGTGTACATGGTGAATGTTTGGGCTGTGAATGAACAAACGTACTACTCCAGAATACAAGGATATCTTTATTAACGTTATATAGAGCCGGGTTTCTGCGTAGCAACTCGGTACTCTACTGTATGTGTTCTAGCTAATAGCAAATTAACATTAGCAAATTAACATGAACACTCACATTCACACACGTGTGCATTTTCGACTCTTCAAGGCTCCTGATTGTCAAATGAATAGACTTCAATTCTCAATGTGTCTTCTTTATTCAAACTTCAATCATCCGACCTACCAAACATCAAACAAGAGTCAGTGGCAAGAGCAAAATATATTTTTTTGACATTGGCAGATCAAACCTGGCATGTTTCACAGTTGTCCAACTCACGTACTCAGCTCTTGCTCATCCCACAAGTGCAGGTTGCTCACAAATGTGGCACCATTTAAAAAGTTAATAAACAGGCTTTGTTACATCTGCATTGTCATGGCGTTGTCGCTACAACAGCTAAGAGGAATTATTCATTCAGGCCTTTTTCACAAGGCAAATCCTCAAACAGGAACAATTTCCCCATTCAAATGACTTTGTAAGTCATTAAAAAGGCACCGTACACCACTTCGGACAGTAATGTTAGAGATAATGCATGCTCAAAAGTAATCTGTCAATCTGGCGTATCCATAGCAATGATAGGGACTATTTTCACTAGAAGTGAGTGTTCTACGAAAAAGATTTTAGGGGTGAAATAATAACACGTACACAACCTCCATTAAAAAAAAAAAATCGTGCTGTTCCTTTTGTGAAGTCCATGTGAAGCCATCTTTTACCTCAACTGTACTCTGTCCTGCTTTTAGGCTTACTGGAGCAGCAGAAAATAAACGGTGGTATTTGGCGGTGATGTGCGCCACTCTTTTCTTTTACACTATCGCCACAATGGCCTTCACCTTCATGTATAAATACTACACACACCCCATCGCCTGCCAATTCAACAAGGCCCTGCTGTGGATCAACTTGGGACTCTGCTGCCTCATGTCCTTCATTGCTGTCACACCATGCGTAAAACAGAGTGAGTCCATCAAGTGCACTTGTACGTCTGTCATCAACCATAGTTGCTAAATAACACTTTGGCCATCTCCAGCTATGCAAGCAAGACCCCCCCCCCCCCACACACACACACACACACACACACAGTGGAGCTACTGCTGCAGCAGATAATAATAATTAGAAGTAGGCTCATGTTATCTGTTTCTCCCTTGAAAAACACAGCGGCCCTGTTGTGCCCGAACATGTTAGATTTAAACATCAGCTGCCAAGAAACATTCTTTTTCAATAGGCTGCCTTTTGCCATTTTGGGGCATCTCTTTTTAATAATTAATCTAATCACAAAGTCTGTTTAACAATCAGGCATCAAACATTTGCTTTGCTTTTATGCGGTTTAATTGCTTTTCAGCTAGTTTTTTATATATATATATATATTATTTTTATTTTATTTTTTTTATTTTTGCTGTTGTGGCCGGTTGGTCCAGTGGTTAGCGTGTTGACCTCAGAGTGCAGAGGTCGTGGGTTCGATCCCGACTCCGGCCTTCCTGTGTGGAGTTTGCATGTTGTCCCCATGCCTGCGAGGGTTTTCTCCGGGTATTCTGGTTTCCTTCCACATTCCAAAAACATGCGTGGCAGATTAATGGAACACTCCAGATTGTCCCGAGGTGTGAGTGTGAGTGGAGATGGTTGTTCATCTGTGTGTGCCCTGTTATTGGCTGGCAACCGGTTCAGGGTGTTCCCCGCCTACTGCCCGGAGACAGCTGGGATAGGCTCCAGCACCCGCTGCGGATTGGAAAATGGATGGATGGATGGACGTTGTTGTTGTGAAAACCTGATGCACGAGAGATAAAAGAAATACAAATTCAGAATCAGCACAAAAATAATCTAGAAAAGTTTAGTCAATATCTAATTTAAAAATTTATGAAAAATGTTTGACCAGTGTAATTTAAGTTTTCAACCTTTTTCAATAATTTTCATCAATTTATTCGGTAGCAGGGGTATTTTTTGTGCTTATTTTTATGAGGTTAAGACACACACATTTTAGATTTACTGTAAATGATTTTTCTTGTTTATATGTGCTGTAATTCTGACCGTATGCTCAATGTCATTGCAGAGCAACCCCGATCGGGGCTCCTTCAGGCCTCCATCATAAGCTGTTATGTCATGTATCTCACTTTTTCTGCATTGTCTAGTCGCCCTCCTGAAAAAGGTGAGCTCAGTTGAACTGAAGCAAAGAAGAATAATCATTTTCATTCCTCCCAAAAAATCACAACTACATGTACAGTCACAATTTTTGTCTTCTGCTTTAAACCCATTACATTCAGTTTTGAATGCACCATACACGCACACACACACACACACACACACACACACACACACACACACACACACACACACACACACACACACACACACACACACACTGGGCAGCAATTAATAGTTCTGATGCCTTGCTCAAGGACACCACAGCCTTGAAGTGATTTATTGCAATATTCAGAGTTGGGTGGGTGGCAGCACCTGTGGATAACACACACATGCAATAGTGATGGGGGTACTATTAAGATATTTCTAAAACGATAATGATTATCATTCCTTCAATGAATTGATTCCTACAATACACGCTGGTGTCAGATTTCTGAATGAAATCCATGTGCACCACACACATCCGCGGAGCGCTGAATCTGTCATCTTGTGTCGTCATTAAAGACACCAAAATCGCATTAGACCACTTGCGCTGCAAAATAAACCAGCTTTTTGAGAAGTCTTAAAACCTAGTCTAATTTTTGTGTCCAGATTTGCAGATGCTATGGGGGACGAGGCAGAAAAACCCACTGAGGTGGAGCATGCCTACCAAATTCACAAACACACTGAATTAGTCCATTGCCCCGGCACGAAAATGACGAAGTGCCCTTTTTTACGCTGAACGCAGACTATTTTCTGATACCAAATTATCGGATGACTCAGAGGGGAGGCAACTCGCGCTGAAACGCCCAAATGTGCGTGAAACACGGCCCCAAAGACACTCAACTAGACTTGCACTGGCACGAAAACGAACTTACACCCGTTTTTACGCTGGACGCACGCACTGCCCAAATAGGGCCCATAATGTGCAAAGATTCAAGTCAAGTCAAGTCACATTTATTGATACCTGTACAGCCTTTAATCACAAACTCAAAGGGCTTCAAAATATACTGCAGTTGGTTCCCTCTTTGCCGCTACAGTCGACATTGTCCAAGATATTGGACTGTGTCTGTTTGTCCTTCTCCAAACTGTTCCCTGAAAGTTGGAAGCACAGAGTGGCCCAAAAAATCAGCGGAGAATTAAGATTTAGATGTTTTTGTTCATGAAGTGTCAACACGAGCCAACTTTTACATTCTACTTGGCAGTCATTCTCCTTGTGATTCTCTCCCAGTATGTCGTCAGGGGAAGAACACACTCGGCATCCATTCAGCTGGTGACTCTTGGTCACTCCATGTATTTGAGATTTTAGCAGAACCTCTTGTCAGAGGCCCTTTTTCCAAAGTGGCATGCACATAGGTGTTCACACGTACGCGCGCACACACACACACACACACACACACACATGCACATTCACATGCACATTCACATGCACACACGTGCACAAATAATCTGAGATGAGATGTGCTCTGACATGCACGCTGGGCTGGTGGCCTGTGGCGAGAATAGACTGACGGATATTTGTTTCGCATTCCACTTGAATCCATTGACAACATAATAACACAGGCACAAAACTCATTACATGCTGTATAAAATCTGCAATTAGTCGGCCTCATGCAGGTGAGGAAAGCTCCGCTTCAGCACAGGATTGTGGTGGAGAAAAAAAATACCTCTTACTTTTGATTACAACATTTAGCCTCACTCTCAGGGTCCAAAAACTTCCATGATCTTTTTGAGAGCCACATTATGTGTGTGTGTGTGTGTGTGTGTGTGTGTGTGTGTGTGTGTGTGTGTGTGTGTGTGTGTGTACTTCTCTGGCTGTACTGTATATGAGTTAACCAAATTGGTCCATTAGTGTTATTGATCTTTGTTCACCTGTTCCCAGAAGGGTCGCTTTGTCTCTTATTATAACACACACTATATATATATATATATATATATATATATATATATATAGTTTTACAAAGATCCCCCAATAGAAAGAAGTAACCACAATGTGCAAACATATTTTCGAAGCCATTTGGATACCTGACACGCACGCATGCACAACTAAGACACACACAAAGCGCCCCTGCCACAAAAACAAACACTGTGCTAAGAAGAATGCATATGAGGTGCAACGGAAAAGACAATTCAGAAAGTAAGACATTCTCTCCCTGTCCTGACAACTGGATGTCAAAGTTTGTGATAGGGGGTGGGAGGGGGTGCGTAGAGGTCAAATTTTGTCACAGTCAAAGAGTGTCAAGTTGTACGACATGAGCATTTAACAACTACCGTGAAACATCCAATTCTTCACAAGTGACTCTAAAAAGTGACCAAAAGACATGTCTGCCTTTAAGAGACAGCACACTAAATGCATACGGTCTGTGTTCCTCTCCGTGTCAGTTGTGTACCAGGGCATGAACATGACAGTATGTTACCCCAGCGTGAGGCAAGACGGGATCCAGAATGAGGGCAATGCCGTGGCCATCATCGGAGCTGCAATCATGTACTGCTGTGTTCTGTTTGCATGGTAAGGACGCAAATCATGCAACACAACCTTAGCACAAAATCACGCGACGTTGCACAGTTAGGTACAGTGTAGCATTTCTTTCGGAAGCCATGTTGTGGGAAATGAATTGCCTTCTATGTTTCCTCAGCAACGAAGCATCCTACCTTGCAGAGGTATTCGGGCCATTCTGGATGATCAAAGTATACCGTTATGAGTTCCAGAAAGCCACCTGCTGTTTCTGCTGCCCCGAAGAGGAGGAAGGTTAGTACTGGGGCAGGAATCGTGCATTGCTTTCACCAAGGCCACTTTACTCATCGTGAGGACAGAAATCATGTTACTCGACATACTCGACATACTCGTTACTTCACCTTGCCACAAAGTTCTGCTTTGTGGCAAGGTGATTTTGCGCTCGTGGCAGAAGATGGAAGCCATCATGCTCTTTATGGCGAACAGATTGTCGAAAGTGTCAGTTTGCAAAATATTGATCAAGCTTTTCTATTTTGCCAATGTCTGCTTTTGTGACTTGATTCATCATGTCCTCTTTTGCTTCTTTTCAATCATTTTTCAGTGGAGGAAGAGTTTGTGATTGATGATGACACCAAGGGCTGCCAGAAGGTTATTCATAACGAGACGCAGAGAGTGGCCTACAGCTACTTTTTCTTCCATTTTGTCTTCTTCTTGGCCTCGCTTTACGTCATGATGACCCTCACCAACTGGTTCAGGTTAGTCAATGACAACTTTGCTTTGCTGGTCAACATTCCCATACTGTAAAGCAGCGGTGGCCAACACTTTTTTTGCCCAAAGATCGACTTTTGAAGCGACCAACCTCCCACGATCCGATCGCGCGCATGCAAGCACACACACACACATACACGCACACACACACACACACACACGCACGCACGCACGCACGCGGGTGCCCAACCATGCACTCGCGCACATATGCACGCACGCCATGATGGGCAACCGCCGGAACGGCCCGTACATGAATGAAAGCTAAAGACACAAACACACAAATCTTTTTTTTTTCCCCCATTTCCTCCTCCCACACCTTGCGGTCGACTTGAAACCAGTCCGCTGGCTCCCGGTCGATTGCGGTGGACTTATTGGGCACCCCTGCCTTTAAAACATAGGTATTTCGCGGACTATCTTAGCGCTTAGCGCCCTTGTTTGTACATTTCAAGTCCTTCTCAGCAAGCAAGAAGCATCTTATGACAGAAGGGCTTTCAATGTTTGCCTCTTCTTACAGCCACCGATATAAAGGTAGAAGTCAACATGTTTTCCGAATGATGTTGTGGTTATATTAGAATATCGTCTCGATAAGTTTAAGCAGTGGCCAGTGGTAAGTTTTGGACCGGGGCCTTCAGTGTTTTTTTTTTGTGATCCAATCCACTGCTTAATAACGCCGTAAAATCACAATTTGTACCCCGCGCAAAAAAAAACCATTTATAACTATGGCTACATTCATACTGCAAAGCGTGTTATTAAATGTTCCTACAAACTCCTTTTCAGATTCACTGATGATTATCTGTATAGTCTCTCCTCCAAGCACTCGAACCCACACATATCGTTACAAAAAAGGCCTAAATGTCGCATTTTAGAGCATTTCGCGTATTCCGGGATAGAACCTAAAGAAAAGAGATAAAAAATACAGATACAGTGAAACTCCTCTACAACGAAATCATGTTTGCAGCAAGAAAATTTTCACAACAGGGGGTTTTTCACTGTAGCAAATTTGATATCAGATGTAAGCACACACACACCCACACACCCACACACACAAACGTATGTGTACACGCACACACAAACGTATGTGTACTCTATTTTTATTCCAATAGTGCATAAGTATGAGCACACACTGATCTGACACTTGATATTGTCAGTGTAGAAAGAAAAAAAAGGGAAAGAAATTGCGAAATTTACGATCAGCATTCACTTTCACTTCCCTCAATTTCTTGGATAATGTCTTTTATTTTGCTTGCTCCGTCTTTCATTTTGACCACTTTTACCCTGTCTTCCAGCATCAGAGCTCTTCTTGTCTAAGCTGCTTGACATCCAAATGTCCGTTTTGCAGCCATTTTAGCAATGCAACGTCCATCCTTGTTCGAATCTAACAATAACAAATACTTCCTGGCATGCAATGAACTTTTAAGCCAGCCACGGGACGCTTCGTAGTCCTCGATGGCCATAGTTAGCTCTCGAAGGCTAAAAACCTTACGCTAACTGGAGCGCTTCTCTCTCATTAGCGCTCCAGTTAGCGTAAGGTTTTTAGCCTTCGAGAGCTAACTATGGCCATCGAGGACTACGAAGCGTCCCGTGGGTGTTTTTAGCATGATAAAAAGTAAAGTAAATGTCCGTCGAGCCATAAGCAATTTACTCTGAGCAGCTAATCGGATGCTACGGATCTAGCTTCAGTATCTACACACATAGACAGTGAGGTCTATGTGGCCTCTTGGCCAATCGGAGGCCAGGATGATGCTCGGTAAGCCAATGGCAGAGCAGCTATGAGTATGTTGAGTCCAGGAAACTCGCAGCTGTGACCGAAATAAACATCGTTCACTATGTAAATCAGTGTGGTGGTTGCTGTTGCCTTTTTTCGAACGAAGCAGTAGAGGTCGCTGTTGGATAAGACTTCGTTGTAGTGAATGTCTTCGCGAGGCTGGAGCAGATAAAATTATTTCGTATAACGCAACAGGGGGCTTTTCGTCGTATGGGGGGCAGGAGAATGGGAATTATGTTAATGCATGAAGATTTTTTCACATAAGGGGGTATTTTCGCCCATGTAGGTTTCGTTCTAGAGGAGTTTCACTGTACCTATATCTTCCAATACATCACCTCAAGAATTCTGTCTACAGTACAATATCGTACTTGACAATCATTTTTTTATCAATATGAAAACTTTAAGTAGCATCGTACTCACCAGAGACACTAATGCAGAAGCTCTGACCTGTCTATGTAGGCTAACTTGTTCACTCATCCATAACTACTCCAAAGTGAAGAGAAGGCACTCTGGAAAGCATTGTTGGTTGAAATAGCCTCATAATATCTTTTCTTGAAAAATCCACCTTGAAAGTGAATTTTCAATCGTGGTCCAATATCGCCCTCTATCGTAAGTTAAGCTTGGACCGCACATTGAGTTGAACCAATCAGAAGCGATAGTAGCTGAACCAGAGAGAGGACGGAGAAAAAAAAACGAACCCACGGAGGACTGTAAGACACATGCAATGAAATGAAGGCTCAGGACTGTTTGAAATATGTAAATTATGAAAGTCGTAATATCGAAAGTCGTAAATGTATGTTTGTGTTTCTGAAAGTATTTGTGGCTGCCTTGAAGGCCCTGATGGAATGCCACTGGTATATGCATATATTCATCAGCAAGGGTAAACCGTATTATCCGTATTGTGTCCCACTGTTTTGCCATATGAAAAGCAGAATGTGATTTCTGAGCTGAGTGCGTTGCCTCCTGCAGCTATGAGTCGGCAGTGCTGGAGACCACCTTCACCCACGGGAGCTGGTCTACTTTCTGGGTGAAGATGTCATCGTGCTGGGCCTGTGTGATCCTCTACCTCTGGCTGCTGCTGGCCCCCTTGTGCAGCTGCCAAAATGATTCCAGACCTCGCCGATCCCGCATCAAACGACGATCACCGTCCTCCCGTCATGTCACGGTCAGCGTCTGACATACAGCCCGGAGGATGGGAGGTCACGTGACTCCATTTCCCTTCAGGGATGCACCGTTGAGGTGTCACGGACGGCGGTCGCTTGGTTCACTGAGTCAAAGATTCACATCGCTGTGAGACGGTCTATTCAATGGGCCCATATGACTTCGTGATATCGCTTGATATCACGAAGTTCATCAAGACTTGACTGTATAAATTGCCAAAGTGAACCGAAGAGCTGAACTGTCAAACTGTATGATGATAAAAAATACAGTGACTATGGTGCATGTGTTTTATCACTTAAAGAGAATTTCTACATCATTGTAGAAAACGCAACACAAGACGTGGCCACTGTGACATTACCTGTCCTCTTTTATCCTTTTTAAAAAGACAGTTTTATTGCATTTTTGCTTTGATCCAGAAGTTAGGATTGTAGGTCTGGTCCTGGCTGATGTTGGTGAGAACATGGGATCACACTTTTTTTTCTTTTTTTTTTTAAAGAACTGCACATAATATTTTACATAAAATATTTTATACACTTCACATGTTCTCAAACGGTCAATGCTTTGACACGATGGGCCCTATTTTCGTCGACAGGGGCATGTGCGTTCGGCATGAAAAATGGCGCATCTCGATTTTCGAGATGGCGCAAGACCTGTTTACAGTGTTTGGCAATTTGGCAGACAGCGTTGTCCCTGACTGTGCATTGTGGTGGACCGAGGGCATTTGCTATTACACACCCGCTGACACTTTGGTGACAAAAAGTAGACTAGAATTTAGACCAGCTAAAAGCAGGTCTAAGTTGTGGTGCAGGTGGCGGAGTGTTATTTGGGTGGATTTGATCGTAGCGTGGGCAGAAATCTGGGCACGTGTGCCGGATTTCATCGTATTTCATTTCGAAATATGACAACAACATGCATTGAACTATCTGAATCCTTGTCGAAATCAATGAATTGAACAAATTATGACGATTATCATATTTAATAATTTTTGAAGGCACCCCTCTGACTGCAGCACATCTATGGGCCCTGGGGGGTTGACACACATGGACTTACCATTGGGGGAAGAAGGCAGTGCCCCTCCATAGCGGTCACCTTTACATCAACCACAAGTGGAGATCTTGCAGTTCCTTTGAAATGTACTTTGCACACACAGATCTCCTGCATCGACCATACAGGCCATTTTGAATGTGCCCCTTCTCTCTGCACTGAATTTAAAGGGAATGAGCAGAGACGCTTCAGTTGGATGGCAAATAATGGGTGGGACAATCGCATATATATATATATATATATATATATATATACACACACACACACACACACACACACACACACACACACACACTGTATGCTGGTAACACTCATGTTTCACTGAGTGAGTATCTGCATGTTCACAGTGTGTCACATTTACATTCAGAGTTAAGTGATGACAGAGGCTCTCTAAAGGGGTCGTCAAGTCAAACGTTTTCTTTAGAATTTATATCCAAACATGGTATTAATAATTCCGTTTGTGGAATATAAATTAAGCAGCAACATCCACCCGTTTTTAGCCATTTCAGGGGGCGGCCATTTTGACACTTGATGTCGACTGAAAAAGACATCATAGTTGCTCAAGGGTCAGTTATCGAGCAATCACGTATTTTCTGAGTTTGGTCATGTGACATTTTGCGAGCTGACTTGTGATTGGTGGTTACCTGAGCTCTACAATTTGTTTTGCGTTACAAATAGGATTCTCAACCTCAATGCATCGTTTCAAGTATTATTAAATGACAAGGCAGCTAAGAAGGAAGCATGCGGGGAAATATGAATAAATATGCAATGAAGAAGACTGTTACTAGTGCATGTAAATTTTGTATAGATTGCTCTCATGTCCTGTGAATGACTGCTGATCAGTTCACCCTTCCCGACTTCCCTGTGACTCAGAACAGCATAACTGAAATAAGAAAATAGATGGATATTCCTCATACAGATTCCAATGTGTTTTTGTTTACATTCAATTTGTGTATTTGCTACCCGGATGACATACACGCAGCCTCTTGCCTTGAGAAAGAAGTAGTCTCTGATTATGACAAAAACAATGAAACTTTGTTGTTCCATTTGTGACACTTTTGGAACAAATCTGCTCAATTTCTGTGTGTTTGGGCAATGCGGGACTGCAGTACTTCTTTCTGTAAGCTCATAAATGGTCAAGTTTGAATGCAGCAGTGTGCTTCATTTTCCGAGTGAATCCTTATGAGAGCAAAATTGCTTTCAAATATAGGAAGTGTATTTCCGACCCTGAACGGATATTTCCTGGTGAGGTTGATTGGTGTTACATATGTCACACTGCTACTGAAGGAAGCCCCAGTCTGCCTGTGATGACTTGCTTACAGTTGATGAACAGCAGTGGTTTGGTTTCAGTATTCGTACGTAGTCCGGTAACAAGAATCCACTGGTTTCAATTCGATGCTATTTTTCTTCTCCTTTCTTTTTTTAATACAATATTTTCTTTCAAATCACGCTCGTGTTCTGTCTTCTTTGTTTGTGTCTGTGATGATCAGCAGTCGTCAAAGGCTGTTTTTCAATAAAATTATCAATCTGAATTCTGAGACAAGCACTCAATGTTTGAATGGCAGAAAGCTAACAACTTTTTCCCCGCAAGTAATTTATATTATATCTAACAAAAAGATCATCAAACAATGTTTCCAAAAAAAAAAAAAGAAAACCTAAGTTCAATGCAGTACAGCCTTAAGACCTTCAGCCTAAATTACAGCTTGGAATAATTTTACACGGCGAGTTGGTTAGAATTAGGACATAGCGCCAAGACTTTACCAAATTAATTCTTTTCAAATAATCAGCTAAATTAACCCTGCACCAATATTGATAACCTTGAACCTGATAAGCTGTCCACTGCAGTAACCGCTATTCCAGAAAGGGTTAACTTCATTTCAAACCTCAACTCAGGAAGTGTAAACCACAGTCAATGGGCGCAGTGAAATCCATTGACTAACCGATTCTGGATCATAGTGTAAATTCACGTCTATAGTCAATAGTTCACATTTTATTCCATGAGGTGGAGCTTGTAGTGTTAAAACTGCTAGCAAGATTTGAACGTAGCCTCGCTTAGAAATGCTGTTGTTATTTTTAAATTACAATGTTTGAGGGAAACACTGAGATGTTTCAGTTCAGCATTTTTGCTCCATTCTCTGACAAAAGCCTCACGATCAATGTGGGAACTCACCTCTCCGCTTCCTGGAGAAGAGCAATCACGTAGCACAGAGTTCATGGTACTTTAGAGCTTTTGATAAGGAATAATCAGGAAAATGATGTGGTCATCAAAAAAAAAAGTCTACAGAGGACTTCATCAGTATAGGTGGGCTAAAAAAGATGGACTACAGTGTTTTGTTTTTGTAGGAGCCTTTAAACTGCATGTGAGAGCAGAAAGTTGAATCGATAAACGCATTCAATGAAACAGGCCGCGGGAGGCTCAATGTTTGAGTGGTTTGCGCATCGACCTCACAATGCAGCGGCGCGGGGTTCGATCCGGCTCCGGCCTTCCTGTGTGGGGTTTGCATGTTCTCCCCGTGCTTGCGTGGCTTTTCTCCGGGTACTTCGGTTTCCTCTCACATTCCAAAAACATGCATGGCAGGCTGATTTAACACTCTAAATTGTCTCTAGGTGTGAGTGTAAGCGCGGATGGTTGTTCGCCTCTGTGTGTGCGCTGCGATTGGCTGGCAACCGGTTCAGGGCGTCCCCCGCCTACTGCCCGAAGACAGCTGGGATAGGCTCCAGCATGCCCCACGACTCTTGTGAGGATAAAGTGGATGGATGGATGGAAACAGGTCGCATGGAATTTGTTGTTTGAAGCAGTGTGGCCTTAATAAATGCATACTGAAAGATTCAACTCACAATCCCGATGACCTTGGAGGCCAGCTCTATCTCACCTTATTTGTCAGTGGAGCTTGAAGAAATTTGAAATGAACTTTAATTCAAATACTGTACAGTATGTATCGTTTTGGCACCCAGATGAGGTTTATGAAGCAAGATATCATTTGGAACACATACGATAATGACGTTGAAAAATACAGATACATATGTTGGATCAATGAAGGGAATCAGTGCCATACAACCAAATACAGCTTCTTTGTTCTGCATAACAAAGCGAGCTCGGTTACCACAAAACGCAATAGGTGAACAGCGGTGTCACTGTTGAAGACGTCACACGACTGTTCCACAAAGCGATGTTTTGGTTGTCACGCATAAATATACAGTACATACATGTAAATAAGTATTGTGCAGCCATGTCACAAAATATTGAGCAACGGTTAAAAGAAAAATCCATCTCAGAAACGGCATCCATCTTACTGATGAAGTTCCATGTCGTAGTCGTAGCTTGAAATTTTGCAACCGACGCTTGCATCAAACGGGTTCTACTTTCAAATCGTTGTCACATAAATAGAAGAGCAGTCCTTGAAACGCACCGATATCCTTTGTCGTATAAGTGTCACATGCAAGACCGAGGAATTAAGGCAATGTTTTACTGGATGGAGTATTAGCTGCACTACACTTGGACGGTGAATATAACATGATTTTTCTTTTCAACACAAAGATAATCAGTCTGATATCATGGAGGACAACAGAAAATATTAAAACAGAGTTTGGTCGACTCACTCGACAGGCGCCATCTTGCAGCCCAGCCTGCGTGATGCATGCGATGCGACAGTACACGCGAGCCACCTTACCCGGTACACGTTTCTTTCCTACATCCTACGATCAGAATTTCATCATGAAAATTGTTGTAAATATCGACTGGAAGGCGATTTTGAGGCTGGGAGTCACAAAGGGCCATACAGACAGAAGACCGACGCCCACACACGTTTTTTTTTGGCATAATTCACGATGACCGAGAACCAAAAGTTATTTGATAGTATTCTTATGAGCGACCCGGAAACAAGTAAATTACTGGTACAACCACTTTACAAATAATCCAATTTGAACTGCACTTTTCAAACGCTGCTGTGTGGAAGTTGCCTGTGCTGGCTGTAAATTTCCAAAATACCTCGTCTACTCAGAACATTTTTCTGAATCTTTCTCAAAATGATTTTGAAGAAACTTGTTCCAAGCACTGTTCTAAGGACCCCTTTGAGCAGGTTTGTCTATTCCAGGGGTGCTCAAACTTTTTTCGACCAAGGATCTATTTTTCGATCAACCAACCTCCTGCGATCGACCCACACGCACTTACGCACGCATGCCATGATGAGCATCAGCCATAACGGCCTCTAAGATGACCGAAACAGAAAAATAAAGTAGACACAAGAGTTGATGAGCTTGTGAAAAGGATTTCCTGGCTGGCTACCTTAGTGGGAGTCCTGACACAGATGCATGCGACGCACGTTTGCAGACTGTCAACTATCGTAGCTCACGGTGTACTGTTTTAAAATGCTTCTTTGGGCTCCAGATTGCCATTCTTTGGTAGTGCCATCGGTGAAATGCAGATGAAACAAACTCTGAATGAGAATAATGATAACGATATATGATTGAGCGCAACAGCTTTGATCACAAGCTGCAACTGCAGACCGCTGAGCGCTAACAACTTCCGGTGACGCAGGTTATGCGCCAGCGTAGGTTAAAGATTTACCTGCTTTATTTATTGTAAATACTTTTTGTGAAAGTGAGACTGATAGGATGATTAGGGTGCAGTGTGCATTAACAAAAAAGTATATCACAAACATGCACAGAGACACACAAATGTTTGGGGTTTTCGATTGAGATCTACATAATGGGCACCCCTGGTCTACTCAAACGGGCTGTAGAGCCTATAAAAATTCCTACACAGCCTTTATGAAATGGCTGAAATCATAGTCGCTTGCTTGATAGGTGGACAAACATAAAAGGACTGTGGCAAAATTGTGTGGTGCCTAAGGGACGGTCAAACAAAATGTGTCGCAGCTAAATTAACGCTTTGTCTATTGAATTTTATTCAGTGTTTCTTTCTGACATCAGTGAGAATAAAGGAGAATAAATTTAGACACAAAGGCAGGAGTTGTCATCAGGTTTCCAACCATTCTAGTGAGGCATTGACCCATACTTTCCATCTCTTATCGTCGAGGGAAATCTGTGGGGCTTCGAGTCTTTGCCACTTCGCGTGTGATATCTTACAGCCAAGCATGTGCCCATTTTTCGCAGTATTTGTTAAAAAAAAGAAAAAAGATGAAAGATTCGCGAAAACAAATTGAATTCAACAGCAGCAACAGCAAGCGAAGAACTTCAAGATGGCGTC